ATATATTTACTCCCACTAAACTTATGGTATACACAATCTTCCACTAAATTCATCTCAAAACTAAATGAGATGACGACTTGATGAAATTTGTGATACCATTGACGGGAAGCTTTTTTAAGTTTATAGATGGATTTCTTTAGTTTGCAAACTATTTACTGTGCATCTCTAGATACAAAGTTTTCTGTTTGCACCATGTAAATCGTCTCATCAATTTCACCATTGAGAAACATTGTCTTAACATCCATCTTATGTAATTCAAGATCAAAATGTGCCATTAAAGCCATTATAATCCTGAAAGAGTCTTTAAACGAAACTAGAGAGAAAGTCTCTTTATAATCAATGTCTTCTTTCTGTGTAAAGCCCTTAGTGATAAGATGTGCCTTATACCTCTCCACATTATCTTTTAAATCCCTCTTGGTCTTAAATATCTATTTGTAACCAATAGGTTTCGCATCCTTAAACAAGGGATAAGATCCCAAACGTCATTATCCTTCATGGCCTTTATCTTTTCATTCATGGTATCAATCTACCTGTGAGAGTTAGAACTTTTCATGGCTTGACGGAAGTTGATAGGATCATCTTCCACCATGCCAAAGTCAAACTCATATTCTTGAAGATATACAATATAATCATCTGGTATTGCAGTTCTCCTCTCTCTTGTGGATCTTTTTAATGACATAAGTTCTTGAGAGTATGAAGTTTGTGCTTCAGGAACAATTTCCTGAACAGGAACGAGTGATACTATGACGTTGTCTTTGGAGTTATTTCTTGAAAAATGCTAGGTATAAGAACCTGATCCTGATCATTATTAAGAGCTCTTGAGGGAATAAGAATATTGACTCATTCCTCTTTAAAACAAGGTCGCGAACTCTTTCTTCCCCCACAAACACAACATCCTCAAAGAACTGGGCATTTCCTGTCTCAAAAATTATCTTAGTAATGGAATCATAAAATTTATAACCTATGGATAGCTCAAAATAGCCAATAAAATAACAATTAATAGTCTGGGAGTCCAGTTTCTTTTTCTGTGGCCTATAAGGCCTAGTCCCAGCTGGATATCTTCAATGTACAAATGTCTCAAACTAGGCTTTTTGCCCGTTCAAAGCTCATAAGGGGTCTTTATAGTTGCTTTAGTTGAAACTCTATTGCGTAAATATGTTGCGGTCTTTAATGCTTCTCCCCAGAGTTATTCAAGTAAGGTAGAATGACTAATTATATTCCTTACCATATCTTTAAGTGTTTTGTTTCGCTTTCAGCAATACCATTCATGCTAGGAGAACCTGACATTGTGTACTATGGGACGATACCGCATTTCTCTAGGAATCGAGCAAACGGCCTCGGACGTTGTTCCCCTGATTTGTCAGATCTACTATAATATTCACCACCACAGTCAGATTTAACAGCCATAATCCTTTGGTTGAGTTGATTTTCAATTTCTGCTTTAAAACTTTTGAACACATCCAGGGATTGGGACTTTTCATGAATGAGATATAGGTAGTCATATCTTAAATAATCATGTATGAACATTATGAAATATTGTTGACCATTCCAAAAAGCCGTAGAGAACGGTTCACAGATATCTGTATGAATGAGTTCTAATACATCCATAGCTCTGTTGGCACCTAATCTCTTAAAGTTTGTCTGTTTTTCCTTGATACAATGAACACATCTATCAAAATCTAAAAAATCAAGGAGATCTAGAATTCTATCTGCACAAATCTCTCAATTCTCCTTTGGGAGATGTGACCTAATCTCTTGTGTTATAAAGAAGCAGAATCCTCCTTGGTTAATTTGCTCTTTATACCTTTTGTACCAACGTGTAAGGATTCATTATAAGCAACAATTGTATCAAGCAAATAAATATTATCATGCACTGATAAAGAACCAGAACCAACCAAATTTGAATTAAGAAAAAGACTAAATTTTTCATTTCCAAATGAACATGAATAACCAAATTTGTCCAATACAGAAACAGAAATCACATTCCGTCTAAGTGATGGTACAATAAAACTCTCTTCTAAATCTAATAAAATTCAGTCATTAATAACAATCTAAATTTATCAATTGCTTCCACCTCGATTGGTTTGTCATCACCCACATAAATGAATCTGGCACTATCACTTGGCTTGCGGTAATAGAGGCAACCCTGCATAGACACACTGATGTTAGTTGTGGCACCAGAATCTATCTACTAGGTGTGTGTAGGTACAGAAGTTAAATTAACTTCAGAACAAAGAAAATGAAGAAGCATACCTTTCTTTGTGTGTCACACATGACCATTAGCGCATTGCTTTTTCTGGTGTCCTAGAGCTTTACAGAAGAAACAAACATTTTCCGTATGAGCCTTTTGTTGCTTCTTTTATTGTACTAGAACTGCAACAGATTTATTTGTTTCATTTTTTTTTGTTCTTCTTATTCTTTGAGATCACTGTTAAATGAGCACTCTTTGTCCTTTCAGACTTGAGTCTTTCATCCTCTTAAACACAATGTGAAATGAGTTCATTCGGGTTCTAGAATTCTTTCTAACAGTTGTATGTCACCTTAAAATGATTAAAAAATGGTGGAAGAGAAATCAAAACAAAGTACACAAGTACTTCTTCTGATAATTCCACTCTAAGTGCTTTGAGCTTTGCATGCACATGTGACATCTCCATTATGTGTTCTCTAATGTTTTCATTTCCCTTATATCTCATGGAAATAAGAGTCAACAGAAATGCACATGCCTTGACCTTATCACTTCTGGCAAAACGTTATTCTAGAGAATGAAGAAAATCTCTAGCTATTGAGATATCATCGGACACAGTGCCCTGAAAAATCTTTGGAATGGCCTGTTCCATAACCAACATAGTCATACAGTTTGACCGATCCCATCTTTCAAACTCCTTCTTTTCCTCATGGGTGCTATTAGGAGTAATCGGATAGGGTTGATAAACCTATAAAGCTCAATCCAGATCCATAACTCTAAGCACAAGTCGAACATTATTCTTTCATTACTTGAAATTTGTGTCGTTCAAAATTGGGATAGAATTAACATTTGCAGTAATACTTCCAGTAGAAAAGGAAGTTGAACAGAGAACGTACAAAATAAATTAATTAATACTCACATAAAACTGTAAATTTTAAAATATAATATTAAATTTTAAATAAAGGTATATTCTCATCTCAAGATACCGGGTACTCTATTAATACTCTATCTTTAGATATAATATTAACTTGTAAGTTGTACCCTGTAACAGTAATTAAATACAAACAGTAGAAACACATCAAACAATAAACCTTCTTTTGGGTCGATTTAAAGTTCACATGTCATACTGAATAACTGTCACATATTCATTATCTCAAAAATAGAATGCGATAATATTAAATATTAACATTCATTTGGACTAATTAACAGTCACATAAATTACACACATACAATTATTTACACTATAAAATAAATAAATAATCCACTAGAGATGTCACTTTGATGACATAATGTATAAATTAAATTATTTCAATATATATATGCACATACCAATATTAAATTCAAATTTAAAATCAATTTTAAACTGAATTAAGAAGAAAATCAACCATAAAATGATCAAAAATACTATCTAATTTTTTTTTGAGTCAAAACTTGGCTATTGACCGGTCAAAGTCAGCATTGACCGTTGACCGATCAAAATGTTGATCGTAGACCATTGACTGCTGGAAATTTCTAGCCATTACGGACTAAATTTGGCAGCCGTTTCAGCTGTAGAACGGTTGTAAGCCGTCAAATTTTCTTCCTCATGCAGTGGTCGTCGACCGCCGTTCTATTTTTTTTTTTTTTGCGCTGCATATATATATAAACATATATGTTTAAAATATATATATGCATATACAATACTTAATTTCTTAATATATATATTTTTTAATTTTCTGCATATATATATATATATATATTCAACTAAACCAAAAACGAATTCAAACTCTAAAATTTTGAATTTAAAATTCAAAATTACATAACTAAAACAAAAAAAATTTCTCAAAAATTCAATATAAGAAATGACTCTTATAGTAATTATTAGAACAAAATTTTTTTAAAAATCTGCAAATCTGTAAAAAATTAAACATATATTATTGTCTTAAATTAAAGAGAAATATAATCGGAAACGTATCTAAATCCATCGTAAAAGATTTGCTCACATCCGGCAGTAAGATCGTCCGAATCAATAATACGCTTTGAAATTAGTTTTTTTTTCTGATGACGAGATTTTAAAAAAATAAAATGATGATCTTTTGATTCGAGGACCATAACCACTTTTTATATCGACTAAATTTTATAATTCTCATTTTATCCATCATAAAAATGGTATCTGTACACTATAAACTCATATTTAAATCTGATCTACTAAACTTCAATATTGTTTAACTATATTTTATCATTTTTAAACAAGTCCATTAAATTGATAATCTGAAACACATATTAAAATCTACATTAAGGGTCACATTAAGCCCACACATCAGAAAAAATCCAATAATAAAGTACATTGAAAGATAAGATATGCATTTCTAGCTCCAGCATATAATTTTTCAATTGAAATTTTGATTAGAATTCTACATCAAAGTTTTTTATTAAAATGACTTTTGTAATCCTGTTCTTGACTAATTAAGGTATATAAATTCAGTAGAATTGAAAATATAAATCAAATTGTACAGATTATAGTTAAATTTTACTGGTCAGAAATTAAAATATAAGATTTCAATGAGAATTACAAAAAAAAGAAATTTAAGATGACGCAGGGTTAATGCTACTATTAGTCCTCTCCTTAAAAATGAAAAGAACAAAGAAACGTAGACTTTGCAGGCCCTTTGAACCCTGGAGGTCGTTTTCGGTAATTCATCAGTCATTTTTGGTTCTCCTCTATTGTTTACCGTACCGAAGTGAGAGAGATTCTTGAAAATCCAGTCTGTAAACTGGCCTAGTGCAAAGACCGAAACTTGGAGCTGTGACTAATACTTTAAAAGGTAAACTTGGATGAACTATAAAAACAGCTGTTTATTCCTGTAGAACATGTTTGATGCTACATCAAAGAAACTGCGAGCACCAGCAATGAAGGTCAACTGCAGGTTATATTTATGTAATAAATCTTGAAATTTTAAAGGGTATGCAATTTACATCAATTGACCTCAAATTGAGACTCTGCGCGAAAAATGGATATTAATAAATATTAATAAACTAACGAATTAATCATGTTTCGGACATTGACAATGAGGCCTGGTGTCATCTTCAAGTTGAACCTGCATCTTCGTCAATGGCAAAGCCAGAATAAACAATTGTGTAGAGTTAGAGGAATGGGGAAACATACGTCAGGCTGATCTTCTTCTACACTAAATCTCTCTTCTTTACATATGTTTTTCAATCTTGGGTTTTGAATCCCCATTTTCAGGGAAGGCTGGAAATTTAGGAAGATCATTATTTGATGTTGGGACTACTGTTGTAACCATCTGAGATGTCTTGATCGTAGGTGGACCAGTAGTTCTCACAACACCATTGCAAATTGGTCCTGGCTGATTCCCACTTTCGGTTCTATCATTCGCAGTGCCATTACTTAGGGGATCTCTTTGATTCCCTATCTCAGTACGAGCTAAGGAGGAACATTTTGTTTCTGTCAAGAAAGATCAGCATAGTCAATTTCCAACTATTTTAATGTGAAAAAGATATAAACATGCTAACCATACAGCTGTTCAGACAGACACGAAATTGTTCAGCATTTTCTTTTGAAAAATCAAGAAGAAAATGGATTGATTATTTTGGTTACACTATGTCTGGAACAAATTCAAAATTTGTGAGATATTCATCTGTAAACCACAACTAATTTAACTATAAGATAATGAGTCCTGCCTAAATGAATAAAAATTGAATTCATAATTCTATATGAAATTTAACTATTCATTATAAATAATATAAATGTTGGTAGAATTTAAAATTTACTATTTCAGTTCTATATGAACTCACTTTTCTGTTATTCTAACACAATTCAATATCTTCTAGTTGCATTAATAAATTTCACAATATTTCTGAATTTATTCCAGACATCGTGTTAGAGTTTCTCCCGTTGAGTGTTTTTATTGCAACCAGATATGGTTTTACTCGTTCAAAACCCTTGACATACCTTTTCATCCCTTCATAGTATTGTACATCATTTATAAGAAGAGATAAACTTACCCTTTATCTCACCAAAGGTGATAAGCCTATTAAGACAATCTCGAAACTTTGTCAAAACAATCCTTTCCTGCTCGGCATAAATCTCTGTCATGCCCTGTCCATGAGGCAACTGAGAAGATATACTGCAGCCATGGCCAATTGACCCATTAGGCGAAGATGCTGCCATGAACATTGTATCTTGTTCATCACACATCAATGCCAAAGTTCCTGGGGACATTGGCCTTCCTTTCAGCGCATCAACGCCATCTGAACTGGAATCATCAATTCCAACTTTATCCACTTGGTTTGCACTAGAGCAATCACCAGCAACAGTTTTCTCAGCATCAGAATCTTTATGGCTTTGCAGCTGATCATGAATTGCCGAAGCAAGGGTGACTTCGGTCTGATCTTCTGCTCGCTTTTTTGCTGCATTTCTTTGATCTGGATGCATGTAAATTTGATGGAAAAATCATTAGTCCGTAACAAAGAAACAACACAAAAGGTGAGAAATACATGTAAAGTTTGCCTAATGACATCCAAAAGCACCAAGAAGTACAAATTCTCAACACAAGCCAAAATAAACATCTTTTAGTTGTACAAATATAAATCAACACCAAGGTATTAGTCTAGTTGTCAGGCAGCCAACCTTTCAAATAGGAAATATTTGATAGCAGAGAGACTGAGATTGTACATTCACTTAGATAAAATCCTACTTGAAGTGTTGCCAGGATCTTACTACCTTGGTAGAGTTGTGGGAACAAATTCACTTAAAGAAGCAAGTAATGTTGCACAAACTGGACTTATTTAGAGTGCAAGCAACGGGAGATTTCAGAAGAGTACTCTAATATCCATACTCATGAGAAGTCATAACTCGTCAGTAGCATGATGGTAGACCCCCGAGTCTCATTTCTTCCTCACAGAAAATGGCCTAACATAAATCATCCTTTTAATTCTCTGCTCATGAAAATATCATTGTTTCACTGGTCATATGGTTTATGTCCAAACTGGAGGAGAACCAAAAGCAATGCAACTAGCTAGTCCTTTCCTGAAATATTATCTGCAATACCCTGCTGAAATATTATTATTTTGTTTTTCTTTCTTTGGTTTGAGGGGAAGATGGGTTAAAACAACTGGCAAACAACAAAGTAGTCATATTGCAGATGCCCTTTATTTGACAGACTTCTTATTTGCAACATAATATTCAGAAACTTTGACAAGAAAATGGTAGATGAGACAACATACACCACGAAGATATGATTAGCACAGAGATGCTGACATAAAATGCTATAAATACTACGAAACAAGGAGAATAAAGTAAGCAACTTGTTGTCAGCTTCGCTTTAGCAAAGACTCTCAGGAAAAAATTTAAAGAGAAATCATTGCATGCAAGCAGATAGATGGATAATTGTAACTGCACACGTAAAAAAATGTGTTAAGACTTCATTCCAATTTCTAAAAATTATTGAATATAATGTAAGCTAATCATAGAGAGATCCAGTAATACAGTATCAGCATTAATCCTCCATCGTATGACCTTCAATATTGCAGAATAATCTCTTGCCTGGTATGATTCTATTTTGTACTCATGCCTAAGGTAAGTGTAGAAATGCAATCTATACATAAACACCTACATACTTGAACAAAATATATAATCTTTCCTCCAGCTTGCATATCTTCCGTATTTACCACAGCATCCATTGCTCCAATGAGGCTCCCTATATTTCTTGTATCAATGTGGTTCACTACCTCCAGTTCCAATGAAATCCTTGGTCTCCCCAATACCTCCAATGTCTTCCTATTAGCAGCAGCAGAATTACCAGCTAAGCTTACCAAACTTAGCTACATTCATTGCAGGTTACTGGTCCTCATGAAGTAATAACCATATCCCAAACTGCATACACTTCCCTCAATACTTTGTCCAAGCAAACAAGATAATTTGCCGATGTATCTCGTTCTCATGCCCCACATCTCAAAGAAAGGCTATCTTTTGACTGACAGTTGGGACGGAAACTGGAGCAGGTTATTGAGTACCTTGCCCTTGCCCACACCAGATGGAGCAGTTAAATGGAAGAAATAAATAGGTCATGGGGCAGGTACAAGTGGAAAAGTGTATACCAATAACGGGTACTGGTGTATGGGTTAAACAGTCTACTCACCCTGTAACTTGTCCATGTTAAAAATTAAGCTATATATTAAAAAATCAACAATTTGACCACTACATAGATGGTTAGAGCTTTTTCTCATCGTCCTGTTCGCCAACCATCTCTCACTCTTGACCCTATTGTTCTATAGATCTCAGTTAGACCCTATCCCATCTCTTATCATCAGGTAAATGACCAATAACCAATTCAAAGAAAAAAGACATTATTAAGACCATGCCAAGGAGACTGTTCTTCTCCTTGCTTTCGTGTCTTTTACATTCAATTTCTTCTCTTTAAACAACGAAGATCTTTTGTTGCTTGTTAAATGTGTAGGCTTGCATTTGATGGTGAAATTTCTGTAGACCAAATTTCAGCACGTATATTGGTTGAAAGAAAGAAAAAAAAAAGCCCAGAAAATATTAGAATTGCGAATTTGTAAACAGTGCTGGCGACAAAAAGATTTTACTTTCTTCTTTTTCTTTGGTTTAAACAAGTAACAGAATAGGTGACAAATAAACCTTCCAACAGTTGGGGACAGGTCATCTGAACTCGCTTTGGATATAGTGCAGATACAGATAAATGTTTTTTGTTAGCTGGGCTAGTATGAGGAGCAGGGATGGCCAAAGAAAATAAAATCTATCGCCAGGTCAAGTCGATTTAATTTTTAATTAAGTGTGGATTGGTCATGTTTGGATTTAGAAGCAAAAGAACTCGTCCGAGCCCAACCCATGTTGTTTTAATTTTAGATAAAAATATATATAGTATATACTTTTTAGTTTAGTGCATATATATAATATATCATATATTTATGTTAGAAACCCGGTTGGCCCAAAAACAAAATAAATTTTGTGAATCTACCCCATGACCAAAGCCGATTCAGGTTTTTAATATTTACAACTGAGTCAAGTTTAGATTTTGCCAAACCCAAACCAGCTGTCTCTAATAATATTGATTTTATGAAATCAATAAATTTAATATTGATTTTATGAAACCCGTGCCCATCTCTACCAACTCCAGAATCATTGCTGGATATCTCCAATAAATGAAAGAAACTATAAAAGCATTGAGAATCATCAGATATCCCATTGATGATGAGGATCTCACTATCCACATCCTAAACAGATTAGAACTTTAATAGACGGAATTTATTTAGATGGTGGGTTAGGACTTGAATAGCAGGAATTGTCTACTACACTACGTGCTCACAAGCAACCTTTCCTCTTTGAAGACTTGTTGCCAACATTGAGCATGAAACATACTAATAATGCGTGCCATACCCCACTAAGATTGTTGTTCTGATCGCAAACTACTCCAAAGAAAAATACCATACCTCGTTGAAATACAACCCTACCAACTCCTCTACTGTGTTTCAAGAAACTTCTCAACCTTCTATCGAGACCGTAGCCTGTGATCTTATAAGTAGCCTAACTCCAACTATCCTCTTATATGAGACAAATGTAGCCATTTTGCTAACTCCCATGTTCATGCCAAAGAATCACTCTTGGTCAATCAATTGCCAACCTTGGAGATGACTCGCTTTTTGATTCAAGTGTCCGTCACCAAATGACCAACAATCTTGGAAACTTTAATATCAACTTGATCAAGGCAATGATGAAAACCAAACTAGAGATGGTTCAAGTCTTAGGGTGCATTTGGCAACAGTTGTAGCTTCTGCTATGAGTTAAAAGTACAGCTAAAATAATTATTGAATAAAACCGTTTTCACTAAGACATTGTTAGGTATTCGATAAAAATAGCTATAAGAAATGCTATCAACTTAAAAAATACAAGTTGAATGTTTGGTTAAAATAACTGTTTTACTGAAATTACTAAAAAATGTATTAGAAGAAAATAAGCCAAAACAAAAGTTAAGAGTTTGGTAAAATAGATTTGGATACTAAAAAATAACAAAATATATTTAAAAAATTCATTTAAATAATTGTTTGTATAATATTATTAATATATATATAGAATTTATATATTATATATAATATATATATTGTTATATATATATTATATGGAAATATATATATGTTATATACAATATATACAAAAAGTATATGTATTGCGATAAATATAGTGTATATATATAATATATATTTGTATATATAACAGTTAATAAATAATATATGTACTTAACAAAAAAAGTTAATTACAAAAAGAAAAATCTAATTTAATGATTATTTATATAGCAATGTTAAGAAACAAAAATTAAATTAAATAATTATTTTTTAGTTTTAGTAATATTTGAATTTTTAAGAAGGGTGGATGATAACGGGAGGCAGTTGGAGCATGGTGGAGGACGGAGGAGGTCGGTCAGTGGAGGCAAAGGATGGCCGGCAACTGCAAAGAGTGGTCGGTAAATGATGGCCGGTGGCCAGCTACAGCAGCGAGGCAGTAGGCTGCAGGTGGCGGTGCGTGGGCAGTGAAGAGGTGAGCGGCGGAGGACGGCTGCAGGTAGCAGCAGCACAGGGCGGCCACGGTGGCAGAGGGAGGCTGACAGGCAGCAAGCGGCAGCCAGCGAATGATAATGGTCAATGTTTGGACAATGTGAAAAAAACGAGAAGCGTGCAATTTTTTAAATTAGTTAAGAACAGTATTGGAAAAAAAATGTTGAAAGCAGAAGCAGTTTTCTAAAAACTAATATTTTTTAGCTTTTAATGTTAAATCTATAAAAAGCAGATTTTAACTCTAATTTTGGCTAAAAGCGTTTTTAATTTTATTCATTTGGTTGCAAAGTGCTTTTGAAAATGCAGAAATTGCAGCCAGATGCTGCAGCCTAATGGGTACTTGAGAGTTCTCATATTAGTGCTGCCTTTTCCCTTACCACTTCCCTTTAAACTTGATATTATTTTGCATCCCGTCTATACTTCTGTCTTGGTTTCCGTCATTCACAACTCTCATCAATGTCTTCACTCCTAAAGAAACCTAGCATTCATAACCAGACCATCTATCTAGCCCCATTTTCTCTCATGTTCTCAATAAATTATCATTGCCTTGTTCTAATCAAAGCTCTCTTGTGCGTCTTCTTGTTGTAATAAAATCTATCAACTTCCTTTTTGACAATCTAGTCTAAAAAGACATGTTCCTCTAGATCTTATCTTATGTCAGTATGGGACCAAGTTTTAATTTTTATCCTATGTTTATTTATCATTTTTTAAACGTGTGGCTTCGTCCCATGAAATTTAAGGCCTTGTGAAAATTAGTTCCAATGATCAATAAGAGCTCTCTACTCGAATGGAGGGAAAGAATATGTTAAGCTTAAAACATCTTTTGCCTCTCGTGGCATCTCCTGTTCCCA